CATCAAAAATCCATCAAAAATCCATCAACAACCACCAAAATCCACCAAAATCCATCAAAAGCAATCCAACATCCATCAATCAATCACGATACAGCAAAGTTCATCACAATCCATCAAGATCATCCAAAATCCACAAGAGTCAATCAACAATCCATCACAACCCAGCAACATTCACCAAAATTGACCAAAATCTACCAAAATCCATAACAATCCAGCAAACTCCATGAAATGATCCATCAACATCCTGAAATCAACAACAACATCAGAATTTCAACATCATTCAATCCGTCAATCCATCAGTCAATCCATCCCAATTCCCAGCTGGACATCCCAGCCATCCTTTTGGCGTTCGCCGCAGGTGCTGGAACGCCTTGAAGCTGTGACTTGCCCGGTTTTTCCAGCAATTGTCCCACCAAGATCCATGGGTTTTTCAACGGTTTTTCCGCTTCACATTTTCCCTTCAACCGATTTGAAGTCATCCAAAGTCCTCGTTTTTTTTTGGGGATGAACGGAAGGGATTTACATTGAAGGGTGAGCAAACTTATATGAATGTGCCAAGCCGGATCCTGCCGTAGCTTTGGAGTATGGCTGGGGTATCACCCAAGATGATCCCGGCGAGCAAGAGATGAATATAGATGATTTTTGGTTGCGATTCGGAAACATTTTGCCAATATCTGTGAATCAAAATTGATCCATACAATACATGATACAGTAAATTAGATATGTATAGTCTAGTCTGTATATATATATATATATGTATTTGTGTCTTATAAGTTGTACATACGCATACAGCTGGGTGTTAAGAAAAACACATTGAATCTATCCGACCTATCCTATACATCAGAGCTTGGAAGTTCTGATTTCGTCATCCGATGGAGTCAGCTCTTGTCTTCTTGTTTTGGTTGAATGGTTACCCCATTTTAACCAACATTGACCTGATGAATTTAAAGCCAATGTGTCTTGAAACATGCCCCCGAAAAGAAACTGGAAACAAAACACCAAGTTTTCCAAGTGAAATCCTCCCATTTTTCTGGTGGGGATCCATGCTGAAGATATCCTGAGAGATCTACATACAGTATATCTATATATTATATAGATATAGATATAGATATTCAGATTTCCCGAAAGTTTTTTTTTCATATTTATAAACTGTCCAAAGTGTTGGTTTGGTTCATTTTTCCGCAACCAAAACGTCGACTGCTCTTGGGCTTCCAGCCCCAAGCACCAGGAACGCGGTGCACCAGCTGCTCTGGCGGAGCAGCTGAAGAATTGCGACTATGGCGAGGAGGGTGACACGGACGCGGAGAAGAGGGAAGCCTTCAAGGCCCGAAACGTTGCGCATGCGGCGATTCTGATGGTGAGGGCAGCTTGTGATGTTAGAATATGGAGGTTTCCCCTTAAAATGGGGGTACCCTCTGGTAAACTAACAGTTTGCTATTGCAACATTTTTCCGGCTGGAATTTGTGATGAGATATGTAATTACAACCTTCACTGTTCTAAATGTAAGGACTTGAATGATAAGGAGCGCAGATACATAAAATTCAATTATCATTGTGACTATTTTAATGATAAAGAACTAACAAGAGTTGAAAAGCTAATATATTTCTTTAAAACAAGGATGGAAAAATCACCTATCTATTTGTCTAATACTAATCTGACAAACACTCGGCAAATGAAAAGAGAAATTGATGTTTTAATGGATACATCCAAATTCAAGCAAGAATTCAAACACAACAAACTGTTCTTAATGGCGATTAAGTCTTTTGTAAAAAGGGAGTGGAAAACTACCTATCACTTCCTTAAACACTTTCACGACCTTACATGTATGAAGTATTGTAAGAACAAACGGGAGTGGTGGTTTCCTCAAAATGATTGGACTTATACATTTAGAAATAGGGAGTTTCAGGTAAAAGACATTTTGGAAATCTTCTTGCGTGAATATCTTGAAGAACTGCTCAAGGATTATGAGAAATACTGTAATCTAACGGAAATACAAGAGCACCTACAAAAAGTGATAAATACTTAAAGATAAAATAACTATACATAGTAAGAGAAAATGAGTAGAGCAAAAATTGAGGTTATAGATACAGGGAATATTGGTATATATGCTGACTTTGGTAGTGAAAGTGAAGATGAACACGAATGTGATAGACAAGCAATAGAAAAAGAAGATGAAGAGATTAGAGACTTTGTAAAGTGTCATCCTATGCCTTCACCAGATGATGAGGAAGGAGCCAAATTTTGGAAGAAAGTAATTAACAGATTGAACAACGACCAAGGAATAAATGCTTTGATAATATATTCGTTTGTAAATTTTGACATTATGAAAAAGATGTATGAAAACCTCACTGATAAAAAGGTCATCGTTGATTGTGGTAAGGAACTTAACCGTGATGAAAAATGGGATGCTATGGCAATAAATCAAACTCTATTAGCATTAGCAATAGATGAACTGAATGATGCAGACAAACCTATCACAAGTCAAGTCAGGATAATTGAACACTGGTGGGATGGAATAGGAAAGTGGAAAGCATAAATGAACAAGACACCAAAATTACTTAAAGAAAAAATACCTATATATAGTAAGAGAAAAATGCCAATGCTTGGAGTTAGTGAAGAGGAACTGAAAAGAGATAGAGAAAGATTAATGAATTTCAAAAAAGAAAATCCGTACCGGATTCTAAATTTATAGAGTATGACCTACTACTTAAGCAAGAACAATCTTTAGAGCAATACGCAGAGTATGGAGAGATAAACCACGACCTTATGAAAGAAATTTATGAAAACATATTTGATAAAGATTTAATCAAAAAACACGGTGAGAGAATACACCATAGAGGAGGAATGGCAGCATTACAACAAAACTATTATACACTATTAACAGTATTGAAACATTTAATTGACCAACGAGGACTGGATAGAGCGATTGTTTCTCAATATTAGGATGGAATAGGTAGTGGTGATGAAAAGTGGAGGTATTAAACCAGATGATTAATTCATAATATCTTAATAACATATATTATGAAGTAATCACCCACCCAAATACAAACATAACACCCCAACAGTCTAAAGTCTAAACAAATCCTACCCCCATTCAATCCAAACATCAACAGTGAAAGTTAGGGGCAAAATAGTCCCAAAACCCCTACCACATAAAGCATCAAAGGTAGGGAAGAAACATTGAACAAAAACATAAAAACCATAACAGGGGACATATTAACATAAACTGTCCCAGTATCCCTGTTTTACCAATTTTTTATGGGAGATGCCTAGTAAGAAATGCTGACTTAGCCAGAAATGTAGATTGCAACCACTTTAGCCACACGATGATGGAGAAAACGCGGTTAAGCGCGCCGAGATTTACCAAAGAGGGAGCTGGATTTCTTCGTTATTCAACAGACGATGATCTGGATTGATTTTGATGACTTAGTGGTGCTAAACGTAGGGAATGGATGGGAATGGAGGAATCACCAGTAAGATGAAGAGCCAAGAGAATCGGATGTAGAGAGAAATGATAGCCAACGGCGGCTGCAGCTGTAGACATAGTCAACCAAACTTAGCCCCTAGATCAGATTCCAAGACGCTCAGAATCTTGGATTTGTGGGGAAAAAAATCACACATTACGGACCCTCCTGACATATTTCATGGGTAAAAACGTACCTGGTGGTTTGGAACATGATTTTTATTTTTCTATATACTAGCGCTAGCGTTAAGTCGTATCAGCTTGTAAAAGTCGTATCGGGAGACCGTGCGCCTGGAAAAAGTTCAAGTTTGGCATCACCACAACTTTTAGTAATTGAACGATTTCATTGTTTTGGGGCCGTGCGCCTGGAAAAAGTTCATTTTTTTTAGCGCGTTGATTTTTTTTAAATATATTTGATCATTCTTTCAAGGGGGCAAACGCTGGTTGCTGCTTGCCTGCTGCTTGCCTGCTGCTTGCCTGCTGCTTGCCTGCTGCTTGCCTGCTGCTTGCCTGCTGCTTGCCTGCTACTTGCTGCTGCTTGCTGCTTCTTACCTGTTGCTGCTTACCTGTTGCTGCTCACCTGTTGCTGCTCACCTGCTGCTCACCTGCTGCTTGCCTGCTGCTTGCTGCTCCATGCTGCTGCTTGCTGCTGCTTCCTCCTGCTGCTGTTGCTTCCTCCTGCTGCTGCTGCTGCTTCCTCCTGCTGCTGCTGCTGCTTCCTCCTGCTGCTGCTGCTGCTGCTGCTGCCGCTCGTGCAAACATTGCGGTCGCATATCGCGGTTGTGTCGCTGTGCTCACCATCTACGCCATCTCGCACTAACCCACTTGCATTGCAAGAAATTTGAGGCTGTACCAATAGGGGTTTGATTTGGTCACGCGACGCAGGACATCAATATAATATATTCAAATCCAATAGGATTAGCTGCCGAGAATTTGTTTGTATTAACTTGTGCCCTTCAAAACCACCGCTGCGCGCAATGCTTCGGCTACTTTTAACTACATCTCCAAGTATGGATGAAACAGGCTGTGCCATGGTGATTCTTCTTCCCTGATGTGACTTTCCACTACCTGATGTGACTTCTCCGTATCGCCGCCGTGCCATGGGGATGATGTGACTTTTCCCGCCTGATGTGACTTAAGTACGGTGCTTGTATTGCGAATGCCATCATCCCAACTGACTTTCATATTTTCAGAGGGGTGAGTATACCACCATCCAGAAAACCATGTAAAACCCATGTAAACATTTCACATCTTGCATGGCTAATCTGTGTGGTCTCAACATGTTTTTTTCAGCGTAGATGCTCCCTGACTACGCGAGGAGTGCAAAGATAAGGCCCTTGAATCCTTGGAACGGCTCCGTGGTGACGACGTGAAGCCCGAGGAGGGGAGCTTGCTGGGTGGTTGATTTCCATCGGAAAATCCCAATCGAAAATGAGAACTGTCTGGGTACCCATGACTTAGGAAACCTCCATCTTGGAGGACCGTCGTCAATCCATCTTGCAGAGATTTGTTTTTCCTATCCTACAGATTTGCATGATGCGATGGATGACCATAAACCCCATGCCATGGTTTGACCCTAGCACATATGGAGATTCATAAGGGGGATACCGCAAAACATGGCATCTTTATTTAATGTGGAAAATGAATGAACATGATCCATTCACCATCAACATTTGGCCATATTTTCAGACAAACCCATATATATATATATATGAAAAGTTTCAAGGCAGCAATGTTGTCACTCTGTTGCAGCTGTTGCTGTGCGCACTGTTTTGACTGTGTTCTTGGACTCAGTCCAGGCTCAAGGCCTGTTGATCCAAGATGTTGCCATGAACATCCAGTGACATGTTGGAACTGTACACGAATGTGTGTTGGACAGTGTTGTCTCTTAACACCACCCCTCAATTTGTTGGGGAATTCCAACACATTGAAGTACTAACACTGTTGAAATGGAATCACATTACATGGCTATTGTTGGATTCAGTGTTGATCCCTGTGCAAGGGCTGATGGCTTGTAGTTTGACATCTGTTGCCCATACCGCAGATGTTGATGAAGCACTGTTGCAAAATCTGTACACGCTCCGGCTCTCAGTTGTTGAACCTCATGCGCAGGGGATCTGTTGAAGATCCACAGACTGTTGACTAAGGTGCCAGTCTCACCTGTTGGATGATGTTTCATCCCTCCATTTGCTGGTCCTCTTCCATTGTTGCACCATGATAGTTGTTGAACTCTTCCGCAAAGCGCCCAAAGTTGGTGCTGCTGTTGATGTACTCTAGGACCGCAATGTTGTCCCTGAGCCTTTCAGGAGTTTTCGATCCCCAGTAGGGAATCTGCACCCTGTTGCAATGGATGTTGCCCTTCAAGGATCTGACCCAAATGATGTTGGATCTCCATGGGTTGCTGCAAGCTTGGAAGCCCGTGTATTCGAGGGCATTCACCAAGGTTGCAAACCATCCATGTTAAGGTCCAGTGACCTGTTGGATGGGAATTGGCACATTGTAGTGCCACACGTAGCCCTGTTGCCAGGATGTGGCCTGTGCGATGGCCTGAATCACGTTGCCACCTTGTGCCACTGTTTTCACATCCCATGTTTGAATGGAGATGATCTCATCCTCTGTGAGGCGCATCTGTTGCCCCGTTTCTATCTGGAGCTGACTGGCCATGTTGTATCCACGGTTGAAAAGGTTCACCGTGGATTGCCCCAATCTCTTTCTCTTTTGTGCCAGGTTGGTGTCCAGGCACATCAGCTTCACCTTGTTCCAACTGGAACTTTCCAGGTGAAGTTCCGTTGAGTGAATATAAGGCCTTAGTTTCAGGGAATATCCCAGTCCCAGCAAAATATGGCCAAAAATCTGGTACGTTTACGTACCTCCATTAAAATGGATCCTGAAATTTATTCGAATAAATTGTTCATATGGATAATTCATGGACCCACCAATAATTCTCATTCATATTCCCAAAAATGTCCAGCAAAAGACAGCCAACATGTCCGACATGTCCCAGGAGTTGGAACGCGAGTTGGAGAAAGCCGCTGAGGAGTCTGCTCGTGGCATCGTCAAGCGATGTCTCGATGCGGCCAGCACGGACAGCGACAAGGTGGGATGATGCGGGTTGTTTTTCGAAAGGGCGTATGCCGAAAAAACCGGCCTGGTAAACCAACAGTTTGCGAACTTGAAGCCATGGCCCAGTCGAAATAGTGGATTTATCCATTGAAAATGGTGATTTTCCATAGTTATGTTAGTTTACCAGAGGGTAGTAAAAAAAAAAAATGGGAATGATCCGTTTTTGTGAACACAGAGGGAGAAATGATGTCAATGTTATAGTGTTTTGTTCATATATACATGTTCATATTGTGTATGGAATTTTATGTATGTTTTAATTTTATTTGACATAACGTATGATGTATATGTACTAAGGTTCCTGGAATGGCGTAAAGATATAGGCAAAGCAACCCAAAGACTCTGTTGGTGATTTTCTTGGGTAGTGAAACAACAATGTCTTGTGTCAAGGAGGTTTTAGGGGTATGAAAAGCAGCCAAAGAATTGATTGGGGACTTTATTGAGGGGATATAAGTCCCCTGGATCCTGACAGGGTCCCAGTGAGTGGAAAGGGGGGAAAAGACGGCTCTGAGGGGTAAACTATTTTTTTATGGGTGCCATAAACCACCCATGACTGGGAATGGTAAAATAATTACCACCTATAAACATGGTGATTTGATGGTTTTATGGTTATTTTACCCACATTACAGTGGGGTAATTGACTAAAACCATTCCCAAAACCGCATAATCAAAATAATGATAAAAAATGGTGATGACTGGGGGATGGTTTTGTTTTTTTTTGATTAGTCGAGCTGAAGGTCACTGGAGGAGGATTGGAGGTATTTGTGAAGGAGTTCAAACCATATATATATATGTAGATACACATGTATAGAATAACACATCTACCAATGTATATATATATAGAGATAAATTGATAGATATTATATCTATGCATACATGTGTGTTTCATTTTTGATACATGTTCTACAGGCACTGACTTTTCTGGAGCTAGAAGTGAGATCAATGCTTGAATGATCACACATAGAGCCAGCACACCAGACTGTGAGAGACAGAGAAACAAATGTTTACTGATACTAATGAAGGTAAAACAATGCCATAGACCATCCCCCAGTCATCACATTTTTTACAGGTGGTATGGTTACCATTCCCAAATGGGTGGTTTATTATTGGCTTACCTACATTATCACTAACTGATGTAAATATAAAATCATGGGTATTCAATAAGTGTGACAAACAACCACATTTGGTGGTTTCCTGATATGGAGGTACCCCCATCATCCATTTTTTTCGATGGATTTTCCATGAAATTCACCATCCAGCTATTGGGGTACCACCATTTATGGAAACGTCTCCGGGGCCTTAAGATGTGACCACCACATGTCGGCCGCGTTCGGTCGGCCCAGTGAGTTGTTCGTAAAAACCTGCCAAATCCCCAGTCTTTGCAAAAACCAAAATGACAAGTCACAAGTCCATTTATGGATTTTAATGATATATTTATGGTTTTATTTTCAATGTTTTGATTGGGCCTGGAAAAAAAAAAGTCCAACAACCAGACAGCTGCAGGAAGCCTGCTTCAACAGTGAAGAAGCCAAAACGGAGATGGCTGCCATCAGCGGACGAGATCCTTCAGAGTTCAAGGCTCGATCAACGTCTGAAACCATGGCAAAGAATCGGATGTGATGGGTTAAATGCCCCCGTTCCCCCCAAAAATGTGTGCTCTCTCTCTGTCTATATACATACATACATACATACACACAGACAGACGGACGGACGGACAGACAGACAGACATACATACATACATACATACATACATATGATATTGGTTTGTGTGTGCTGTGTGTGCTGTGTATGCTGTGTTTCTATGCAGCTTTCAATGTCTTCAAACGCCGATAGCCCAAGGCAGATGACATGCGTGAAGCCATGCGCGAGGGTGCAGCAAGTGACACTCGGTGTGTTTACATCACTTGCCGGTGAATTTTACTCAAACGGATACAAGGATTCGATTTAATGGGATTTAATAACCTTTTTTCAATGGGATTCTAAAAAATGAGAATTAAGTTGATTTAATATCCATTAAATCCCCTCTCCCCCCAGTTATAAAATGTAATAAAGTGGTTTATAAACCTCATGAATACGTATTGTTGTATCTACAATACTTAACCATAGAATTCACTTAGTTATTTGCACCAACTTAGCTGTCTTGGATATTGATGAGATATTCGCGGGATATATATATAACAGCTCAAATTGGGGTGAATACTGGGTATATAATGGGGACATGAACAGATGAGATCCACCTCTGTGTTATCAAGCCACTGGTTACTGTAGATGTTGATTCCTGGAAGCATGGATGGCAGGAAAGTATTTCTTTGTTAGGACAATGGCTTGTTTCATTGGCAGATCTGGTTGGTGCTTTGGAACATTTGGATTATTTTTCCATTCAGTTGGGAATTTCATCATCCCAACTGACGAATTCAAATTTTTCAGAGGGGTAGGTATACCCCCAACCAGCAGATTGCCACAAGAACCACAAGCCGCACGGCATGATGGGATGAACCACGGCATGATGTCGGGCAGAACAGCGGTGAGATGAACCCGAGTAGTGCTAATATTTATTGTAACCAAAGTCTGAATGGCTGTGATTACATGACAAATCTTTCAACAATTCTTAGCCTCCCCTTTTTACATTTACGTTTAGATGTGGAAAGTTCAAAATGTGTAGATCACCAAAAATTCCGGCATGCCGCATGTGGGAAACTCCCACATCGTCTTAGGACGTAAAATAGAACCCCCGGGGAGTTGACCACTTTCGAACATGGGATGTTGACCCGGCCTACGGTAAACCTAGCAACATACCCTCTGGTAAATTAACATAGCCATTGAAAATGGCCATAGAAATAGTGGATTTACCCATAAAAAATGGTGATTTTCCATAGCTATGTTAGTTTACCAGAGGGTAACTATGGATAACTATGGAAAGATCCACCATGCTATTTTCATGGGTAAATCCACTATTTCGACTGGGCCATGGCTTCAAGTTCGCAAACTGTTAGTTTACCAGGCCGGGCACGCGCGGTACCAGTTGAAATGGGCGAATCAGGACTTGGTGGAAGAGGTGAGCAACTGTCAAAAGAATGCGCAAGATGAGAACAGCAGGAAGGAGTGTTTCTTGGATACCCCAAGCGTTTACATAGATCTGGGTAAATCATAGTTAATAAGGGAAATCATCCCCAAACGGCCTTAATTCAGGTTAGTGAAATACTATAATTTACCCAGATAGAGGAATTTACCCCAAGCGTTTGGACACGTTGTGTTTGGGGAATAACTGCCACTTACATCCCAATTATAGAGGTGTACATATCATTATATATCCTATAAACGGGATTATAGTTATATAATATCCCTATAATTCATGTTTATTAATAGAGGTTTATAGGTTTATTAATCCTATAGAGGTGTTTTTATATATCCTAGATGTGGATAGTTTAACTTATTAACCCCTGTGGAAGATCCATGTTTATCCCTCTAGGAAAATGGTCGACCACCATGGTGGGTCCCAACTCCACGAATCTAGAGGTGTCAAATCACACAGGAGGGTTTTGTTTTTTTTATGCAGGGCAATGGTGGGATGAACATTTTTAGGTCAATGATTTTTCCACTCTTTGTGAGTTGTTTGTTTCTTTAAGTATCATTTTTTGGTAGAGTCTAACCAGCTATCTAAACACAAAAAAACATGTTGCAAGGGAACCATGGTATCTCCAAATAGATGGTGTTATCCAACTGGTTGGAGAGATTCTCTGGCCATGTTCTGGGGTACCGTTTTTGCCATCCATGCGGGGTGCATCCCAACCAGTTTCTGTGGTTAATCATATTTGATAATTCATATAGAAATACCGTGTATATAGAACTTGATTATAATTTCCGATTTATTTTTGTTGCCCCCCAATAATCGATGTCGACACGTATTTTCAGGATGCCTTTTTCGATGTTTTCCGCATAGATTCCTGGGATGCCAAAGGCTTGAGGCCTTCCGATGAGATGAAGAAGCAGATTGCTGACAGCAGGGGCAAAGCCAGCCACTGGACATGTTTTTTAAATGGGCCGATAACCTTCAGAATTACCCTCTGGTAAACTAACATAGCTATTGAAAATCACCATTTTCAATGGGAAAATCCACTATTTCTATGGCCATTTTCAATAGCTATGTTAGTCATTACCAGAGGGTATGAAGAATTCAGCCATTCAGCAGGTTGACTTTTTTGTGTCACCAAGATATCGGGGATTTCACCAAATGGGCGGCGTAAGGGTAGTTTTGGGATACCATGATTTCTAAACCTTGGCTTGCTTCCCCTGAGCGGATGGTCAACAATCCGTTTTCTGGGAATAGCATGTTTTTGTGAATAGCATGAGATGGATGACCAGAACCATCCATAATCCATTAATGGCACATAGAAGGTGACGATAGCTCAGTTGTGTTTCGATAACTCCAATAAACTATGGTTTATGATACTAAGAACATCTTGGAACTGTAGTATTCATGGCTTTGATAAACATGCACCACATGATATAAATTCACACCAAATGGTCCTGGATGTATCAATTTAGGTATAATATACTAACGTTATATACTAACCATAATTATATAACAATAATCATAATATCCATTGATATCATCCAGTATGATATCATCAAATTAATTCAATTTAGGTATGAAAATAAACTAACCATCATATAGCTAATATGCTACCTACCATAAACATATCCATCACATGGACCTTTGCATCCAATGATATCCATATGGACGTCAGGTGGCGATGTGAAGGACTCGGAGGTGCGTGAGTTCCTGGAAGACGGTGCGGAAGAGGACCGGAGAGGAACTCACGGGTCATGGGATCTGAGATATGGATTAACATGGTGTTTTTTAAAAGGAAATATATTTTTTTATATGATATAATCATTTCAAAAATAAAAGGAGACAACAATCGCTATAGAATTGGATTCCTGGGTAAATTTACCAGTGATTCAAAGGTGATTTACCTGGGATTTCACCAAGAAAAATGCTGATTTCATCAGAGATTCATCTGGGTAATGTGCTGTGTCCGTCGTGACCTAACCCTGGAATCATGGTGGGAATTCGGGACACCATTGGCCTTGCCCTCTGGTAATTTAACACTTTGCGAACTGGAAAATCACCATCTTTAAGTTCGGTAAATCAACTGTTTCTATGGGCCATGTTCCATAATGTTCCATAGCTATGTTAAATTACCAGAGGCTATATTTCAGGTTGCTGCAACAAAAAATGTGCTTTACCAAGAATTGGGAATAGGGAATAGGGAATGGATTAAAAGTTAAGGTTCAGGGGACCCTAGGTTCTGTTGATGTTTTAGAATATTTTGGTGTTCACCTTCCAATTTTACTTTGACCCATATCCCCTAGGATGAGTATATATATATATAAAAATATAAATGTGTGTTTGATGGATCATGCTGGTTCATATTGGTTGAATCACAGTCAATAACGGATCATGATGGTTAATACATGTTGAATCATGGTTAATAGTGGATCACGATGGTAAAACATGCTTAAATCATGGTTAACAATGAATCATGATGTTTTCTAAGAAAACATGTTAATAGTGGTTAGGCATGGTGTTGTTAATTCCGGGTTGAAAGTGCTTGGCAACGGACAACTTGTTCAGAGGTGGTTGTGCCATCAGTGAAAAAATCATTTCCCAAATATACCCGAAACAGCCAATGTGCCTGAAGATGGCGCAACCCTACATGTGCAAAATGCACAAAATTGCGCCATCTACACCATTTTAGATTTTAAATCCTTCTTTCGGGAAAGGATTTTTTGGTCATCAAAACTTTGATGAAACAGGGCTCAGCTGGTTGAAGTCAAGTTTTTAAGGGAAAAAACAACCACCTGGGACAGTGCCATCCAGCTATCAGTTGCTCTTGAAAAGTCTTGCAAACAATGCCCCAAAAGGGAATAACCCTACTGCCACAATAGATCAATTCTTGAGTGTGGGTCACGCCATGAACTCCAGGTCAGAATTTGTCAGAATAGATGTGTAAGCGGACGGCAAGCGGCGCTTTAAAGAGGGTTGGGTATAGATGAAGGGAAATGCAGAAAGGGGAGGATCTGCACCAAAAGACTACGGGAATAGATGCTCCATTCCCGTGTGAACACTTGTAAACCGAACCAATCCCCAAAACCTGGGGATACATGGCGCAACCCCCCAAAAGGGGCCGTGCAGAAATGGAAGCATCTACAATAAAACCATCAAAACACTGCGGGAATAAATGTTCCATTCCCCTTGCAAACCAAGCCAAACCTAAAAATACAGGAATAGATGGCGCAACCGTCAAAATGGGCTGCAAGTCACCTCAAAAAGAAATCTACCAAAACACTGTGGAGAACATGCAAAGCCAACCAAACCCCAAAAAGGCAGGAACAATGCTGCAGCCGCAGTCCCCAAAAAGGGTTGCGAGTCCAACAACAAATTGCTGAAATTGCAGGATTTGCAGAAAATCCACCAAAACACCAAAGGAATAGATGGCGCAACCCCCAAAAGCGGCTGCAATTCATCTCAAAACACAGCTGAAAAGACGGGATCCCCAAGAAATCCAACAAAACACCGTGGGAATAGATGGTGCGATGGCGCAACCCCCAGCTTGACATTTCAAAGGTTTTGCATGGTAGCTAGTGGGAGCAACATTAAACACACACACATCAAACATATCGATTTCAGGTTTGCGAAATTCTTGGCATAGATGGCACAACCAACTATGAAACGGGGAAATGAGATGTCACGCCCTTTTGAGGTGTCAAAATTCCAAAGTCGGCGCCATCTTTACGCGCACTTTCGTAGTTGGCAGGGCCATCTACTCTCACCCCGGTGTAACCATTTATTGTGGATATGAATGGATACATTAATGGGATCTAATGGGCTATTGATGATTTAACAGTGACTAGTGCAGCAGTTAGTAGAGATTCGTAAGGGATATATATGGGCATAGTAGTAGGAATATAATCTTAATTTACAACAAATAACATCAATGTTAGTAACGGTAGCCAACCCAACATTGCTTTATTATAGATCGGTGTCATATTGTATCTAATTCACATTTAAGATTACAGTATAAATGGTATGTTATGGTATGCTATTGAAAAAATGAGCTTTAATGAGCTATGGTTGAATTTAATTGGATGAATTTAACCATCGCTGGCTATAATACTATATAATCAATACCATATCATAGCGTGACCACATGCAGAACTGGTCTCAACCACATTTGCCGGACTGCGCGTTGGCAATGAGATTTGGTTGAAAAGCAATTTGAAATAACCAGAGGGTAGCATAATTTGCCTAGATGAATGGAGACTGCGAAAAGACGGAAGGACATTTGCTGGAAAGCTGGAAATAAGCTGAAAAAACAGCATCCAGAATATCCTGTACAAGGTTTTTCTTCCTTTTTGAGGATGTCTGTCGGTTTATGCCCATAGGCCCATATGAACAATGGTCAGTCAGCCCATAAGAATAAGGCCCTGGATGCCCAAAGCGGCTGGAATACCTTGCTTCAAAAAATATGTCCATCTGTAATGATATCAATGATTATATACTTATACAGTATGTGTTGTTATAAACCCATATGATTTTCTCATGGATACCCAATATGTTTGCCTTTCGACAATCAAACATTGCATTGGAAAATATATTGATGAATTTCCCAGGGAATGGGTCTCAGATGTTTGGAAAACTGGTTTGTTTAGTATTGTTTTTCATACACGATAAACAGCAATATAGATGTATACAGCTATATATATATATATATATTATGTGAACACTAGATATTTACTTTTTATGCGTTTATTCATCACAATATATTTATTGATCTATATCTTCATACATACATCTATAAAACATATATCTACATTCAATAAAAAAGTGTGTTTCATGCTCAGTCTCATCGACCTACCTCAGTGGTCACTGCATATCAACATTTGATCAACGACGCCAATAATTCATCTTCAGCTCTATACTTCAGCACAAGGATTTGATAATTTACACTCTTGTTATTTAACATAGCCATGGAAAATGACCCATTTATAGATGGCGTACCTATTAAAATGGTGATTTTCCATGGCTATGTTAAACAACCAAAGGGTATCATTTTTCAGAAAACAGGTGTGTTTCCCAAAGTTGATGATCTATCAAAAATTCTCATGAGATTCCCAGATTTTCGTCCAGGACATGTGGAGTATCATGAAGAGCTGCGGGGAGGATCGAGAAGCGTGCCTGGAGTCTGCCAAGGACCGGCGAGCACCGGTAGGCATCCGTGTTTATAGGGTGAAACGATAGTGTGAAAGGTGATGAAAATTGATACATTATATATACGTATATATATATATATATATATATTTACAGTACCATATATACATATATATATACCACATGAAGGGTGATACAGGGTGAACAGTTGATGTTTTTTCTGTTTTGTGTCTATTATCCAGTTTTTATGATGTTTCGATATGTTTTTTGTTAGTTTGTGTTAGTGGGCATTTGTGTTTGTGTCTTGGCAGGTAAACAGAATGGTTGACTATCTAGACGTTTCATGCTGTTCTTTGTTTCAGTACTTTTGATTTAGCGAGGAAACAATGTAAGCTAAAGATTCGGCTGGTGGTTTAAATGGTTATGTTTGTGTATGTGTTTTCCTATTTAGATATGTTGAAATCTAGACATATTATTGAAACATAGAAAATAATGATGATTGCAGCATGCATGGCATTCTATTTGTTATGGGGCTCTAGGTAGGATGGATCAAATATGGTCAAATTACAAAAGCAAAAAAAGGATCGTTTGATACCAGATGGCCAATGAGTATCCAAAGATTGACAATCAAATTCTTGAATTTGTCGAACATTTGAGGATTTTCTGACTATTCAAAATTTGCGGACCCAAGATGAAGGCAGAAACATTAGTTACTGTAGAAGCCTCACAGAGTTACAATCTTAAAGATGTCCCTATCCATAGACTTGCGACAGAATACATGCTTGCTCACTGTTTCTGGAGCTCAATCAAACATTGGTAAGCACATCTACTATAAATACCATGTGGAAAACCATCAAAAAATCCCAGATCTTGTTGACGACCTCGTTGCGGCAATCAACTCCCAGGAGATGCTGGGTACAGCTACCGGCCAGGTGCACGGATCAAGTGGGGTTTTGTCACCAGCAAAAGGTTGGATTATGCTTGGATTTAGGCATACCCATATGCTCCATGTATAGTATATTTACCTACAAAACTGGGTGATTTATGGGGTAAATGTTGGTAAATATTCCATACATGGAGAACATGGGGTAGAACAAAAATGTGCTACAACCGCCAATCGTTAAATGTTTTGTACCATGTTGTACCAACCTTTTGTTTTATTAGCAAACAACATGGTAAATATCTGGCTTAAATCGACTTTTGAGCTGGGTAGTTTGACTTTTTTGTCTTTTGCCGGAAAGGCGAGAATACATTTCCCGGTCCCCAGTGGTCTATATAGAATAATATATTTATATTATTATTTATATATATATATATACACATTATAACATTCAGGATATCCCCAGCCCTTAAGCCGTACCCATCTAGACCTACATGCATTTTTTTTGGGAGATGACCAACATGGAGCCTTAATCATATTGTAACCTTAAACATGAAATAGCATGAAATAAGAGGCTGAACACTGGCAATATGTGGCAATAGATCAATTGTTGTCGACCATTGATGGGAAGCATTGATGGGAAATCGATCATCTGTTGGGAAATCTTTGGGAGGAAGTACAGAGAAAGAAATCCTGGCTTTGGGAAAGATTGGAAGATGAGTTCAATTCTTTTCGTTGGTCAAGACATGCTTTGGCAAAGCCATGGTGGGTCCTTTGGTGCATATCATATTTGCATCGTAGCAAAATATCTAAAACTGCAGGCTCGCTTTTTATTGCAGAACTCAACATGAATGGATGATGGGATTTTGCTGGTTCAAAGACTTCAACGGCCACAATGGAAGCAACATATGGTTGAAAGAATATATCTGAAAGACATGTCGTGGCTGCGGGTGCGCGTACACAGTCAAGAACACGCAAGTTCATGCCCAAACTGAAAGGCACCGAGCATGGCAGAAGACGGAAAAAAGGGCTTGGCTGTCGCGTACTCGTGCTGAAGTTTGCCTTCCAGCAAGACCGAGAGAAAACATGTTTAACAAAATGTTGCATGCACATGTCATTTAGCAAAGTTTGTGTGCAAGATGGATGGGGACCAATGAAGGTGTTCAGTACAAGCCACAATCGCGTGCATTAAGTCACCCGGACAGATAAAGAAAGGAAGGACATGTTTATCAAAGCCACTTGTTTTGTAGGTGATCACATACCAATTTTGGTTTCTCAAGCCCATTTTTTTTCGTTGGTTAAGCACCTTTTTAGATCGCTTAAGCCACCATGCATTACTATGTGTAGGTTCCGAAGCTATTTTTGGTTGGGTGAGCTCTCCATGTATCATAAGATTCTTGAAACCATTTTCCTAAAAAACAACTTCCAAGGTTTCTCCGGCTTAGAATTTTAGGACAGAATTCGAGCAACTGACGATCTAACTAGCCCAACTTAATTTGAAAACTGCTTGGTGGTTTGGAACATTTTATATGTTCCATAATATATAGGATATTATAGGATAATCATGGATAATCCTTCCCATTGACTTTCATATTTTTCGAGAACGCTACCACCAACCAGATGGGGAGGGGATCGGGGATCGCTCGCACGACTTCCGGATGGATCACTGTTCCAAACAGGGGAGAATCATGTGGCCATGGTCAGTTGCCCGTGAAATGATGGATTTGGTCGATTTGTCTTGAAAGTTGCATGGATATACATGGATATACATTGGTTTAATAGTGTCTTAATGGAAAATTCTAGTAACTACGAAGCATCAATGTAATTTCTAGAATAGAATTCATATTTCGTTAATAGTAGCTATAAATTTACTAGTATCTTAATAATTGGAGATCACATGCGAGTTATAGTAATTTTCTCCAGGATATGTTCTCGAATTGCTCGAATCGATTTCAGAAATCTTCAGGAATCTTCAGCATCCGGTAGTCAAAGGTGGCTTGCTGGAAATCCACCATTTACAAATAGAAACTTCGATGGTTATCCCGAAATCCCATTAAAACACACCTCCATTCAGCGAAATCACCATATGATTCCATTTACTTCGATGACTATCCACCATTTATGAATCCCATATGCGAACCATGGTGCTGGAATATGAATCCCAACATTTGCCCTTGTCCAAAATCACCCAGTTTTGTAGGTTTTTATATACCATGCATGGTTCGCATATGGGTATGATTTGGGTATGAATGGTTTGTGGCACCTCCATTCATCGATTCATCGGCGGGAAATCACCAGATTCGAGGATCGTCACTCGAAACGCCAGGGGAAGAGCGACATCACCGACGACCAGTTGGCGCGTCGGCTGAGCAACGCCATGAAGGATGAGTTGGCTGAGTCTATGGCCGCCTGCACCAGGCGTTCCCCGGGGGGGATCTCCGGGGATGTTTTGTTTTTTTGGAAAACTTGGGATGAATCATAGAATATCACCGGAGGCCAATGTGGGTATACAGTAATATGATTTAATATGATATAATATAATATATATATATATACCGTTGAATGGGTTCAATGTGGATCTGATATCTATCCAAATGTGGATATGATACCCATAGAATGCGGACTTGAGGAATTAGGTCGCTGAAGTCAAGATAGAACATGTGGTAAACATAGATGTAGAATCTATGTGGGGACTAGGGAGATAAGGCTATATACAAAGTTAGAGTACAACCACAATAGATTGGAGTATAATCATCAAGCAAGCAAGTGGTAGTCAAGAGTCAAAATCTATGATGTTTCCAGATACTCATAGATTGAATAATGCCAAGAAGCCAAGTCGGGATTTAACCAATTTCCAAAAGCTCAATCAACGTTGAGATTTGGTGACAGCAGTAGCCAAAAGTTTTTTTGAACCCTTAAAGATTGACCACATTCAGCGGCTACATTCTTTGGATAGTTTTTTTTTAAGGGCACATGATATGTGGGCATGAGGAGCAAAACCGATTTTCGCACATGAATTTGGGAGTATTCATATCCCTATACAATATCAAATATCTTGTTATTGGTTTGAAATATTTTATATTTTCCATATATTGGGAATAATCATCCCTTTTCACATCACTTGACTAATATTTTTCAGAGGGGTTGAAACCACCAACCAGATATGTATACTCTTATTTTGACGTGAGCAAAATGTGTTGTGATGCGTAGCCACATTGCGTGACTGGTGGGCGGAATTGCACTGTTTGGTGGTTTACATGTGTAGGTGTTTAAAGTTTTTTTCATCCCCATCTATTTGTCCAATTGAAACTGACTTTGGAGACAAGAGTGCAAGCAGAGACTAGTCAATTGACTTGCAGTGTACTGTAGTAGGTTTCATAATATGTTTTCCCAGCCACCCTGTTCGACTGGTTGAACCCCCATCCAAATGTAATGACTAGAGAATCGAACTGCCGTTTTCACCCCACTTGCTTTCTCGGGCGAGCGGCCCTATGGCAGTCACACAAATCCAGTATGCCTTAAATTACTTTCTTCCAGTGATCCCCACCTTGAAGCACTAGTTTCTGACATACCGTTTGGAAGTATATAATATTATATATACGATATATATATAAATACATATGCGCATATTTATTCTGGCATTCTATCTGACATTCTTTCTGGCATAGACTTTGACATTCTATCTGGCATTCTATCTGGCATCTATTCTGACATACTTTCTGGCATTTATTCTGACATTCTCTCTGACATTCTTTTTGTCGTTCTATCTGGCACCCATTCTGACATTCTATCTGACATTCTCTCTGGCGTTTGGCTGAGGTCCAGCTCTGGAGCTCACGGTTGAGGTCCAGCAGTGCCCACTGAAATCTGGCGCTCGCGGTTGATGTCCGGCAGTGCCCACTGAGATCTGACGCTCGCGGTTGAGGCCCGGCAGTGCCCACTGATCTCTGGAGCTCGCGGTTGAGGACGAAAAGAAGAAGAGCAGAAGAGGAGAAGAGGAGAAGAGGAGGCGGGAAAGTCTGTGATAGAATCTCGAGAACCTCACCCGGCAGGCGGGGAAAAAACCCATGGTCGATTCCTGCAAATTCAGGAACCCACGCTTGGTCTGCCATTTATGCACACAAAAAAGACATATATTAAATATATTATGTTCCGTGCTTCAACATATCAGATATATAATTTAAACCACCTCTTTGCCTCTTTGTCATGATAATCCCCAACGAGTGAAAAACTGCAGCTGGGCTGAAGGCACTAACGACTGGCTGATGTTGCTATGTGTGTCCGTGATCTCCCAACTCTAAGTCAAGCTTTGTTTGAAAAGTTGATGGGTTAATTTGGAATGAGATTATGTTTGTGCCATGTTGATCCATTTTGGTTTGAAGATTCAATATCAGTGACCAGCTAAAATTAGTAGTTATAGGGGTCATACGCGGGTATTTATAGATTTTGGGGCTCCGTTATATAGCTAAATTGGTTTACGGCTAGGGTGACGTTTGGATTTTAGCAGGGGCCCTGAGCATCTAAGACGCGTGCATTCTCCGTGGCCCATCCCACCAGGGCCGCCACTGATGACATTGCTCGCCAGCTCTGCCGGGATATCCTTACGGATCAAGTGCTCAGCAGCTTGGCGCTGTCGAAGGTGAAATTTATTGGGTAAAATTTTGGTGCTGGGTTTGGATCGCCACAACTAAGGAAACAAAAACTCATGGGATGAACGACTTACGTCGTCCCCACTAATGACTAGAGGTTGCCCTGGTTATAGCCCTAGCAAGGGGACAATGTAAAATGGCGATGTTATGGGATTTACATATTCCATTATCATTACTAGGCTTACCGCATCGTCCAGCTTCTTTTTGGCAGGGCTGGAAATCGAAGTTTAGCCACGATTTCATAGAAATGTGGGCCAGATAGGGACAACACTGGGATGATATGTTTGTCAAAGGAGGGTGATAGCAAGCAAGATAGCATGCAGCGCGAAGGGAAAGTCAAATCATAATGCAACTTGGAACTTCATGTCTGGGTCAACCTTGGATGGGTAATCCGTTCCCCCGAATACTAAACCCCCAACCCCCCAAAATAATAAACACCTCAGGTAGTTTTTAGTATTAGGGTGTGTTTATTATTAGGGTGCGAAGTTCCCCCCTAAGACTAAATTTAAAACCCTAATATAAAAAACTATGTTTTTGTATTTCAAAATCGAGTATTATTTTTATTTTTTATCTAATTGAAATATTGCCAAAAATTGCATTTCGAAGTTTTCCCCCCCTAATACTATTATAAAAACCCCAATATAGAAAACTAATTCGTCTATTTCAAGATCGATGAGATTTCCTTTTAAAATCTAATTAAAATATTGCCAAACATTGGATTTCGAAGCTTCCCCCTAAAAAGGTCATGTCAGTTTGCAGTGCAGTTCTTATGTAAGGTTGGCCCAACAACATCATATTATGTTTGATGTCTTGATGTTTTCCTGTTTCAACTCCCATGTTGCCAAGTTTGCCAGCAAACTCGGCCCTGCTGCCATGGCTAAAACTTGCCCAAACAAAGGCACGGCGGACAACCGCACCAAGCACAGCAAGGGCGACAAGAACCAGGCCTTAAAGGAAGCTGGGAAAGCTGCCGCCACGGATGTGGTCAAAGACTGCCAGGGGTCACTTGGTGCTGGTGGGAGCGAAAAAAACTTAGGATTTATGGGAATAAACATGGCTACATATTGTATATATATTTATACGTATATACATATATATATATACATATATATATATATATACTTTTATATATATACTTATATATATATACTATATATATATATAAATATATAGCCTACTGGTGAGTATATAAAGTGCCAGATATAGCCATTTGATCATGGAGGAATGGTGATGAATCAGTGAACCAGTTAAGAAACTGTGAGTGATCATTACCTTAAGCCACACCACTTTTATAACGCAGTTGTATATACATATATATATAAATATATATATATATATCCACCCAATATGTTACCCTAATCCACCACTATAAGATTGTTTACACTGTACTTATTACCACGAAGTTTACCAAATTGGTGCATCTTTATCTCCCGCGAAGTCAAGTTTATAATGAAATATATGGGGCTTACCCAGTATTCAGTATATACACCAAGTAGGGTCATCCCAAAAATGAGTATAGTGTTCAAAACCCTTGTTGGTTGATGATTAGGGAGGCTGCTCAAATATACCCCAACGTACTGGGGATTGACACAATCCAGTATGGGAAATCCTAATGGACTATGAAACATTAGTATATATCTAGAGGCAAAATTCCCATATTCAGAAAATCTTCGCATACCATGTTTTCATCGTACTCCAGACCTGGGTTTTGGTGTGTTACTTTGATAGGCATTTCAGCTCAATCTGGAGGGAACAGTTGGGCCATGGCGAATCCACTGAATGCCCCTCCACAGCTTTCTATCCCCTAATTATGTCGTTCCAAAGCAGCTGTGGACGTTGGATGAATTGAAGGCTGCTTTGATAAGGGAATTTCCTCATTTGTCTACCGAAGAAGGACAGGGTTTTCAGAGGTAACGTTTTTAAAGGTTGGCTGAGTAAAAATTAGCAAGTTTCTTCCCCGGGGCCTCACCCAAGGTGAACTCGGAAAAATAGAACCCACTGGTGTGCCCCTGGAAGTTTGGGCTGGCTTTGGGATTGGAATGGTTCTGGCCCCGAAATTTCCCTATGTGGTCTCTATACCAGCCACGCATACTCGGAATTCTTCGCATTCCACAAATTCTTCGCACTCCAGCGGGGGCATCGCACTCCACAGCTGGGGAGGTACACATACTGTCAAACCATCGGGCTCGGCAAGATCTGCGCACTCCATAAAATCTTCGTACTCGGTGAATGAGACGTGTTTTTCGTTTTTTTTTCGTTTTTTTTTGCTAAAATGGCCTGGAATCACGTATTCTGGAATATGGGGAAGATGGAGTTCCCACCTGAGACGTCGGTAGTTTCACATACTATCGCATTCCAGGCCATGTTGGCAAAAAAACAGGAGTCCAGCAGCTCAGCAGGGTGAGTGTGATAATTTTCTGGTATGTGATGAAAAACAAATGGTGTTGGATCCATGGGGAAGGTCGAAGGGGGCCACGCATACGGTTTTATTTTCGCATTCCAGAAAATTAGCGCACTCCAGGGGTGGCATCGTACTCTATCGGTGGAATTGTTTTGCACGGAAGAAAACAGGATCGTCGATGATTTGTGTTCCCAGATCCTGTTGTGCAGGGCTCTTTGTGGGGCCACAAAGATGTCAAGAAAGAAGTGGATGGCGCTGCTGGTGAAAGGCCAGCCAAGCGTGCCAGAACATAAGCTGAACGCTTATGAATTGGGTTTTGAGATCCTGAAAAGTGTAGATGACAAATTCCCATAAGAACATTATTAATCCATTTTTGGAAAGCTCAACATTATTATATAATTATGACATTTCCAGAAATTGTTGAAAGTAAGGATCTTCTTTGGGGAAGAACATGTGCAGTCGACAACGTACGTGCCAGAAGAAAAGGAGTACTTGGCAAACTGTACGAAATACAAATTTTACCTGAAAGGGCTCTTCGCAATTCCCTGAAATTTCGCAGCTATTTTGGCATGGAATATGTTCGGCCCTGGAATATGGGCAAGAAATTGCTAGAATATATATATATGTATATACAATAGTCATACCCCTATGATATTCGAACTAGAATGAGCTAATGTGGTTAAAGCAATAGTAAACCATCCCCAAGTTTGCCGTGAATTGTTGGTAACAACCATCATTATATGGGTAGTTCATTATTGCTTTACCAACATTAATCCATTATGGCTTCAATCACAATTTATTGGACAGTAATGAACAATATATTGGCTTCACTATTAAAGCCATAATGGACACTATATCGGGGATTGTCATATGTGATCACTCATCTTTGTGATCACTATAGTCATCACTATAGTCATACCTATTTATCATTCTATGTTTTTTATCCATAATCAAAATCACTATAGTCATCACTATAGTCATGGTTATAAATCATATTAGGGGATTACGATCATATCATTATCACTACTTTTATCATCAATACATTGGGGGTTTTCATCCTTGTATGGATCATCTTTACCACATCACAACATTATCATCGTCATCATGATCCATAATCATAATCATTCTAGTCACTATAGTCATCGCTTTAGTCATGGTTATTACCAGTATCATTATCATTACCACATGAATTAAGAAAAATGATTGTTACCATTATCATTACCATTTTTATTACCATTATCACCAACCATTCCCTCATCAATTAAGGAAAATGATCGTTGCAATTATCATTGTCATTACCATTAATCATGACCAGCACCATAACCATTATCATCATATATCGGGAAGTATCATCATTTATAAATTATCTTGGTAAGCACTATTATACCCATTACCCATATGCTCCACGTATGGAATATTTACCAACATTTTCCCGGACAAAATCACTCAGTCATGTAGGTAAATATACCACACATGGAGCATTTGGGTTTTACCTTTATTGGTAACCACTACCTGTATTGGTAATCACTATTATTTTGGTATCATTTATCATGATATCCATTATATCTTTACCAGGAGTTATCATTATCATCCATTATATCATTATATCCATTATATCACTATCAATGTGATTAAAACAATGTCATAAACCATCCCCAGTCATCATCATAGATAGGCAGTTTATTCGATTTTTCTATCATATATCACTACTATATCACTACCATATCACTATTATATCACTATTATATCACTATTATATCACTATTATATCACTATCATATCACTATTATATCACTATTATATCACTATTATATATATATCACTATTATATCATTATCATCATTATCAGTTGTTTGTGGGTAAATCAAGCTATAAATGGTCATGTTCAATAGCTATGTTAGTTTACCAGGCCGGCTATGATCTTTACCACATCACTCATCTTCCAAGGACTCGCGAGGAGTGCCTCACGCGTCTCATGGAGAAAGCCGCCGAGTCCATGGGCCGACGCCCCGAGGATTTGACCGACGCACGGTTTGAAAAAATGTCAGCGGTGAACTGCCGTGAGATTTCACCAGGAAAAACATGTGAAAAGAACGGAACAAACATATGAAAAATGATATCACCAGTAAACATATGGAAAAAAAAACGTAGTTTAGAAACAAAAATGAAGAGTTCACCAGTAAATATGTGAAAACAAATGAGAATTTCACCAGTAAACATGTTGGAAACATATGATAATTTTACCAGTAAACATGTGACGTTTTCACCAGT